ATGACTCCATTGATTCCATGAAATTAAATATTCTTTATCATTATATTTATACCTCATTAGCTTATTTTGGCTTTCATATTCATTTAATAATTCACAATCTTCATTTTTAAATTGAAGTTTAACCCATTCAGGATTTAAACAATGTTTAATTAATCGCGGAATATCTGACATCATCTATATATAGCTTCTTTTATAAAAGATAAAAAAAATAAATTATTTTAAAATTAATGTTAATTTTTTAATGATTTATAAATAAATATATTTTAATGCATCGTCTATATATAGATGTGTTGTAAACAGAAATTCATCAAAAGTGACACCTCAGAAAAGCTAAAATATTGAATTTTTGGAACTTTTGATAGAGCACGTTTTTAAATATTAATTAAAGTAAATGTATATTTTGTAAAGATTCTTTTTAATAAAAAAATAAAATTTTGAAGAAGAACACAAATCTTCTGAAAAATAATATCACATAAACTCATACTATTTTCTAATATATAACTATTTTATATAAAAATCAAATTCAATGATCTTAAAAGCGAAGGATAACCTCAAAATTTACGAATATAATGAGTGGGAATATAATGCTTATCTATCATAAAACCATATGAAATATCAATTTTTGCTTTACGCCTAATTTTTGACGACAATTAGCAAAAAATGTTAAATGTTTAACACTCAGTCCATTTGAATATGAAAAATAAAATGACTTTGATTAAATGTTTTTATTTATCATGCAATTCTTCTTGCGACCAAAGATTTGAATAAAAGTTCAAAAAATAAGATAGCTTAAAAATAAATATACGGTAGTGTTTACTAGATGAATAGTATATAAATTCTATTAAAATGGATTTGATCCAAAAAATATAAAACCAAAATAATTGTTATAATTTAAATGAAGAAGTAATTTAAAACGATTTTATTTATGATCAAATTTTATATATTTTTTTGGATCAAATCCATTTTAATAGAATTTATATACTATTCATCTATTAGTAAACACTACCGTATATTATTTTTTAAGCTATCTTATTTTTTGAACTTTTATTCAAATCTTTGGTCGCAAGAAGAATTGCATGATAAATAAAAACATTTAATCAAAGTCAATTTATTTTTCATATTCAAATGGACTGAGTGTTAACATTTAACATTTTTTGCTAATTGTCGTCAAAAATTAGGCGTAAGCAAAAATTGAATTTCATATGGTTTTATGATAGATAAGCATTATATTCCCACTCATTATATTCGTAAATTTTGAGGTTTATCCTTCGCTTTTAAGATCATTGAATTTGATTTTTATATAAAATAGTTATATATTAGAAAATAATATGAGTTTATGTGATATTATTTTTCAGAAGATTTCATTCTATATGCCTATGAAAAGTACTCTCAAAACTAACTTTTTCCTAATTATAATTAAATCTAGAATATTGTATTATGCTTAGTATTATTTCATTTTTCTCATTCAATTTAGAATTTACAAATGTCAAAAAATTGAGAGCTGTCACTTTTGATGAATTTCTGTTTATTACAGATGTAACAAAAAAAGTCACTAAACCCGTCATATCCTACTACTGAGATTAGTTCACAATTTTTGATAATAAATTTTTCTGAGCATAAATCTAAAAAAAAAGTAAACATATGATTCTGTTTCTTGTTTCTTATTGGGAAATATGCAAGGATGCATATGATTCATCAAATTTTGGTCGTTGCCTGCAAAAGCAATACTCGGCTGGCACTCATTTCTCAAATGTTTCGACAACAAGTATTTATCTTCATACATCTTCGAAAAGTAATTTGAAAGTGACAAATGCAGAAGGTGAAGTTGTCGAAATGAAACCAGGAGAGCAGATATCATTTATTAACAGCAATGTCACAGCGAATTGTATCGAAAACGTCTGCCCGATCTCTTTTTGGAATCACAATGTGGATGCCGTCAATCAGTACTTCGTAAACGATGCGGCTGGTACAGTGTTCTCAATGGAAAATCAAACATTGGAAGATACATACTCAGTTTATTGCGATTTCGGAAATTACACAAAAATCAGTTTGAAATACATGAATCACTCGAGAGTTGGTAACACAGGTAGATTTTATTTTATGATAGAAAACAAAGAATTTAATTATTTGAGTTTACAAGACGATTTAGAATCATTTTATATTATGTCGCCTTTCATGCTGCAAGTGAGAAGTTCCAAGTATGTTTCTATTAGCTTTCGAATCGTTGCAGGCTCTATGATCCGACCTTCGACATATTTCCAAAAAGGAATTTCCAGCGGCGGTGTTTCGGTTTACAATGACATGAAGCTTACAAAGAAGAACGAAAATCCGAAGTTCCTCAAAATTACAAAAGTTTCGAAGGTAAATAACCTTTGGGTTCAATTAGAATTGATTTTTACAGTTGTTGGATCCTTAATACTACTTTTTACATTGAATATAATCATTATTCTTGCGGTAATTCATCACAAGAGGAAACAAGAGTTTGTTCCTGAAGATGACCTTGGTTTGACTATATAATGCGTAATACTTACCTCATCGAATTCTAAACTGTTAATTATGAATTTCATATTGATTACTTTTTGTCAGTCATAAAAATCATGAAATGGATATACCTTTACTTAGTTTTGATGTTTTAATGTTTATTTTTATGTTTTATCCAACATTTATCGAAATTGTAATGATCTTTTATGGCAACTGTAAAATTTGTGAATAAAATACCATATAAAAATGATATTTATTTTATTTTAAGTAGGATGATCTACTTTAGAAGATGTTCTTATATATGATATTTGTAAATTCAAGTTATTGTATAGTTTTATAATGTAAAGATGATTTATGCAAATAGCAAAAATATTTATTCAAACAATTTATAAACAAACATCAAACAAATATGTAAAAATATCTTATAAAATGTTAATATTTGGATAATTTTGTTTCATTATCTCTTTTGCTTTCTCTATACCATATTTCTCTATACAAAACTTCGCGTGAGTAACGTAAATCTGCAAATTTTCTTTGTCCTTCAAAATCAATAATCTTTTTTCAAATTCAGCTTCATCTTTGAGGGATCTCGCGAATTCATGTAATAATAAACCTAATTCTATACTTGGACATCTTGTAAACAAGTCAAAAGTCTTTTGGTAAACCAATTTTTCTCTTTTTTCGAAGATATCCTGAATTTCCAAAACCAAACTTTGAGAAAAGAAAGACAAATTAAATATCTCTTCAACCAAACTCGGATATATATCAACCAAATGGTGTAGCAAAGATATACTCGAATCGAAAACAGGTGATTTCGGGAATATCATGAAAACAGAAGTGAATTCCATCAACAAAGGATGGAAATTTCCAAATTTTTCTTTGTTCATCAACAATTTCAAGATAAAAGGTATCAAGCATTCAACAGTTTTGTTGTTCCTTGCAACCTCGTATATCAAAGGAATCAAATTATCAACAAAATTCACAATAAATGTCACAACATTTATAGAAGAATCAATTTGTATAAATTGAGTGGCTCCAACTAAAGAAGAAGACACAAAAGAAGGAATTCCTGACTTCAAATTCTGTATAAAATCAGTGACATTCATTGAAGGAATGGCAATCTTGTTGTTTGTAACAAAATAAGAGGCAGAATTAAAATATAAAAAGTGACACTTATTTTGAGGAAGAAATTATTCAAAAACTCAAAAATAATTTTTTGTTCGTTTGAAATTTGGACTAACAAATAAAGTAGATGTCTAAATTCGTAGTACACTGATGCAGAATCAATATTAATTATGTCTTCAAGTTGTCCAATAACTAGAGCAACAATAGAATTGTATTCCATTGTCATTTTTCTTTGCCTCAAATTAACAATCGCTGCTAAAATAAATCTCAATAAAACACAACAGTGTTTCGATGTAGGCAAACTAATAAACAATGCCAAGTTCTGTGAAATAAAATCATTAATGATAATTCCACTAAAAGTGACAAAAGAAGACGATAACAATTGAGAGAAAACCTTAAATGACTTAGTTTTAAATTCTTCAACATCTTGTAAGACTGTGTTGAAATAATCTGGATCAACTATAGCTAATGCTTCTATTAAGTCATAATCTGATATTCGTAATAAATCATATGGACTGTCACTTTTTGAAATTTCCAAAATTTTGGTTTTGATTTTTTCTGGAAATTCAGAAATTTTCAAATTCAATAGTTTTATCGTCATTGGCAAAACGGTTATTTCCATAAACATATCATTTTGTAGTATAAGATCTCTGTCAATAGAAATGCTGTTCTTGAGACAGTATTTCAAGCAAATTTTCAATGATTTCGTGTCATTTTCTGACAAAATGAAATTCAAAATTTCTTTCATGAAATCATTTGACAAAACAAATTGGGTATTCTCCAAAAATGAACAGATCAGTGGTATGTTCTTTATTAATTTGTTTTCTTTCATCTCTTTAGAAATAGAAATTTTGTCAATTTTGTCAATTTTTTTAAAGAAAACGTCACTTTTTCTGTTTTATATGGTGTGTTTTTGATTTTATAGAAAATTAGAGGATTTTCTTCAATTAACTTCTCTAGTCCATCGAAAATGATGATATCCTTATGCAGCATTGCGAATTCCAAGTGATCTCTGTCTAGATCTTGTATTTTCTTGACTTCTTTCTGTATTTTGTTTGATTTCATAAAATCTATCAATTCAAAGTTCATTTTTTCATCTGTACAGCTCCATTTCGAAAACTCTGTGTCTTGTATATACTTAATCACTCTGTTTTTAGCATCAGAAACTCCATTATTCGCCAACATCAGCAATGACAATGAAAACTCATCGATTACAAACTTTACGACTGATTTTCCAAGTACTGCACATAATCTGAACATCAGAGGTGGTCCTGTTATTGGATCTATGATGATTTGGAGTGTCGGTAATGTAGATAACGCTTTTTCATGGTCATTTCTGTCAATTAACACGAAACAATAGAACAACAAGTCAGGATCAGTACATCTCTGCTCAATTAAGTACTTTTCGATGACAATTTGTACTTCATTTGGAATTTTGCATTTTGTTTCAGCAAAAGTTTGCAACAGGTTGCTGCGACTTTGTTATCTGATGTATATAAGAACGTGTTGATGACCGATGACCAAAGTTCAGTATCTGTTGTAATTAAAGTCACATTTGTTGAAATTGCCTTTTCTAGAGCGTCATTATCGAAAATAGGGATCATTGCCATGCATATCCAGAACAATGTGTATGTATCTTCTAAAATTTCTGGAGGAATTTTACAAATAAATTCAAAACAGCTTTTTGTTGGTCCAAGAACAATTTTATGGTGTATCTCTGGATGGTTGACAATATCTGTATCATAAGACTCCAACAATGTCGATGGCGGACACGTGGTATTTCTGTTTGTATTTCTAATGTAGAGAGGAATCTGAGTAAAGTTGCCGTAAGAGTTTATCAGGAATTCAAAACAGTATTCCCTTATCTCAGGAGTGATGTAGTCTATCTTAATATACTTCAAAAAGTGGAAAGTCATGGAAATAGAAGCCATTGACTCGCAATACAAGATACATTCATAAGCTATTGGAATAAATGTCTTAAATTCTTCAACATCGAATGATGAAGCGAGAATTGATAATAATTGGAATCTTCTAGCGACAACGAAGTCATCTGACCAGTTAGAAAGTGATATTTTGTACAGCAATGACCCAATTGTCTTATAAGAAGTGATCGTATTCAATGAGTTCATGGCAGCTTCTGATAATTTCGTGTTTGGAGACAAAGAAAAAGAAAGTAATCGATCAACTTCTATTCCGAGTAAAGCAGGAATCATCGATTCAGCAATTCTGTGGTCGATTACCGATATCAAGTTTGAGACCTCCATGTCCTGTACCCAGTTCTTGTTGTTTTTCTTCAGAATGTTCAATAGAACTCGTATGTGTTTGTCACCTTTGTAATATCTAAGGAATGAATTGACACAACTCGCGAATCCTTCGACATATGAACAGTAAACATCATTTTCTGAGTTCTCAAACTGGATGAAGAGGTCAATGGCTTTATCGTAATCAACTGTATCTTGGTTTGCGCTGATGAATTTACCTAAAGCAAGAAGTTGTGCCGATTTTAATGAATCACTTTCTGTTTTGTCTTTGAAAATGTCATCAAGAGATAGAGATAACTGTAGTAAGAGTCTGTTGAAGTGTAACGGAAGAGTTCTAGAACTTACTTCTTTGATTCTGTCGCATATTAAATTGTAATAATCTGTATTCTTGTATTTTTTGAGTAAAATGCTGTAGACTGAACACGCGTATTCAAATTCAAGGAATTTTGGGGGATCTTTTGTAAAATCAGCGAATGCTTGGTCAGCAAAAATTCTTTGACCGTCAACTCCAAATAATTCGAATATTTCGTAGTCTCCGAGTAATACAGGGCCAAGAGCTGATACTGCTTGTATTATCATGTTCTCTGCAAAAAGACTCTTTAGCGTTTGAACCATTTTTTGTTTGTTTAAAAGTACGAGTTGATACACGGAATTGGTGTAAGAAGATGTAATGTTGCCACTACAGCCGAAGTATATTGATCTAAGTAATGCTTGTGGATAAGATATTGGCAATGAAGTCATTAAAGGAATAATATTTGGCAAATATTGGATATATTCAGATGGATCTGACTGGAAATGATCCATCGCTGGTACTTTTATAATGAAATCTTGCATATGAACTGGAGATACGAATTTTGATAAGAAAACAAAAGTGCTAATGATGGCTATTGATGATTTTGGTAATATCTTGCGATTGGATATTGCATTTCCGAATGAAGTTATCATCTCTTTCGGATAAAATATTGTAGTTGTGATCAAAAGTGCACCAAGAACTGAATAACTTGTAACTCTGACATTTGCATTATCATGTTCTGTAAAATTTAAGATTGTTGTTAAGACTGATTGAAGAGAGTCATTTGGATCATTTTGGATAATATTTCTAATCCATTGATAACTCACGATTCTTCTGAATTTACCTAATGCTGTTGTTATCTCAAGTGCATCTTCACTCTTCGATGTATCAAAGTCATGCAAAACTTTAAAGATTGGACAATTTTGCACAACAAAAGACATCGTATTGAAAAAATTCTTTTTTGTGGATTTCATAAAAGATAAAAAAAATTCATGGGAGTTTTGGTCTCAAGGTTCTGAGTTTTAGAGCTAAATACAATGGCATTGAAATGCTAATTAGGAAGAACGATCGTTCATCGTAGCATTTATATGTGGTATTCTCTGATGGAACATTCAGAAAGTTATTCATCAATAGTTATATTAGAATCTGCGAGTATTGGTGAATTCTCATATAGTTGATTCTATTCACAGCATATAGTTCAATTAGACTAACTTTTTAATAGTCCCAAAATATATTTAGTTGAACTAAGACTATATTACCTGTATTTATAAAAGGAATCAATAGAGTAATTACGGCATGTGACAAGTCCATAGTTAAATTAATTCTTCTAGAAATTTGAGAATACATTATATGTTTCTATTGTATTTATTTCATTCATATGTGCATAATTTTAATTGCATAAAGATACAAATTAAAAATAAGAGTATAAATAGAATATTTATACATAGAAAAGAAAAAAATATATGATAACTATATATTTTTGATGTTCTTTGTATAATGGAATGCATTACATGAATTTTTGATCATTTGGAGCTTTAATATATAGCATAATTACATTAGCTTCACGCAAATAAAATGAATGATATTGCTGTCTTGTATAATATGTTAATTAGCAATAAATTTTTCTGCGCAAAATGAAAATTATATTAATCTCTTTGAGATTGGAGTAAAAGAAAAAAAAAAAAAAAAAAAAAAAAAAAGGGAGTGGGGCTTCCAGGCACTTCGTGCCTTCTAGCCCTGAAGATGTTTAGTATAAATGAAGTCTTAGAGGACAAACATGACTATGAGTTTTGATATGACAAGATAGAATATGAGAGAGGTCCTATAAACCGGAGAAAGTGTTATATAAACATCTGTCATATTACTCAGAATATTATACAGAATTCAATAAAAATATATTTTAGGTGAAGAGGTGAGATTTCACCTGTTTTTTCACCTCATTTTTCACCTCTTGAATTTTCATGAATTTCATCGTAAAGACTTTGTCAAGATTTCATCGTAAAGACTTTGTCAAGATTTCATCGTAAAGACTTTGTCAAAACTTCATCGTAAATGTTTTGTCAAGACTTCTTCTTCGTAAATGTTTTGTCAAGACTTCTTCGTAAATGTTTTGTCAAGACTTCTTCGTAAATGTTTTGTCAAGACTTCTTCGTAAATGTTTTGTCAAGACTTCTTCGTAATGAGTGTAAATGACCAAAAATAATGTTTAGGTGAAGAGGTGAGATTTCACCTGTTTTTTCACCTAATTTTTCACCTCGTGAATTTTCATGAATTTTACACCAAAAATAATGTTTAGGTGAAGAGGTGAGATTTCACCTGTTTTTTCACCTAATTTTTCACCCTCTTGAATTTTCATGAAATTTACACCAAAAATAATGTTTAGGTGAAGAGGTGAGATTTCACCTGTTTTTTCACCTCTTTTCTCACCTCTTGAATTTTCATGAAATTTACACCAAAAATAATGTTTAGGTGAAGAGGTGAGATTTCACCTGTTTTTTCACCTAATTTTTCACCCTCTTGAATTTTCATGAAATTTACACCAAAAATATACTACTAGGGTCATTTACGAAGAAATCTCAACAAAGTCTTTACGAAGAAATCTCAACAAAACATAGACAAGAAAGTTCATGAGAAATTAGATGAAGAAGTCTTAACAAAGTCTTTACGAAGAAATTCATGAAAATTCAAGAGGTGAGAAATGAGGTGAAAAAAGAGGTGAAATCTCACCTCTTCACCTAAAATATATTTTTGGGTCATTTACACTCATTTACGAAGAAATCTCAACAAAGTCTTTACGAAGAAGTCACAATAAACATCTGTCAAAAACCGCTTTTTAACTTCACTTAAAATGCCACGTAAGCTACGTAAGAATATACGTAAGAGGAAGAGAGCATTGAAACATCCAATAGTAAAACTGACACCACAACAACAGTTGCAACAACAAATGCTGAATGACCCCACTATGTTGCAACAAATGTCAAGCAATCCTATGCTTTTAAACCGAGTTGTTGGTGCACAGAGTGGAGGTTTAAGAGCGGCACTTTTAGCGAAAATGGCAGGCTATGGTGGAGCTGCAGACGGAACAGCCTATAACCCTCAAAGTCAAATGAATTTGAGTTCACTCAAAAATCAAATAACAGATGTCAAAAAGTCAAACATAGACATACAGAAGCAAATAAGTGAAAACGAAAAGAAACTAGAATATGACAGACACACAAAGAAACTCAATGAGTTAAACGTAGAGAAAAAGAAGAAAGAAGAACAACTGAAAGAACTAAGTACAGAGGAATATGCGAAAAAAAGTGTCAGAAAAAGCAGCAGAAGTAGCAAAAATGGAACAAGATGTTATAAATTTGAAAAACCATACTACTCAATATAAAGTACTGAAAGATGAAGAGATAAAACAAAAAGCCCTGAAGACATATATGGATAGCGATGAGTATAAAAAAGAAGTTGAAGCAAATGTAAAGGCAGAAAAAACTTTTACAGTTGCAAAACCAAACCGTACAGTATGAAAACTTAGCACAAGAAAGTAAAAATAACGACGCAGCCATGCAAAAGGCAATGAAAAGCGCAGAATATATAAAAGCTAATAATGACTGGTTAGATGCCCAAGCCAACGCTAAAGCAGCCCAACTTATAGGGTCAATAAGGACAAAAATACAAGCGGATGAAGACAGTTCAAATGAAGCTTTAACAAATGCTGACTTTAAGAACGCTTTCGAAGCTCTTCATAGTAAGGTGAAACAAGTGAACGACTTCTCATCTGGAAAGAAACTGAAGTCTGAAGGTTTCGACAAAGAGTTAAAAGAAGTAGCACAAAATATGACGAAAATAACAGATGCAGCAACGAGACAGGCAGTTCAAAGTGCCTATGACGCCGTTAGAGCAACTGTTGTGAAAAGTCAAGAAAAAGAGTTACAACAGACCAAAACAGACCTAGTAAATGCTTTCTTAAAAACGAAAAGTCAGGTAGGACATTACGCTGCAGATGGAACATATGTGCCAGCTGGTGGAACTTATGTACCAGCTGGTGGAACTTATATACTAGCTAGTGGAACTTATATACCACCAAACCCTCCAAGAGAAGCACCTGCACCAGGACTACCTAACACATTTACATCGTCACATGGACACAGACACAGGCATGCACCAAAACCAACACAACAACAACAACAACAACCACCTCCACAACCAGCACAACAACCAACAGTTCAAAACACTGCACCACAACCAACAGTTCAAAACACTGCACCACAACCAATAGTTCAAAACACTGCACAGCAACAACCACAAACAGAGCAAGGACATAAAAGAAGTAGAGAACAAGGAAACCAAGAATTCTTAAAAATGCTTAAAGAAGACTATGGTTACCCAGATACTCTTGACTTTAGTGACAGATATAAAGAAGCTATTAGAAAGTTCAAGGAAGGAAATACTGACCCGAACCTATTTAGCTTTATGGCTCAGCACCAAATGGGATATAATTTCAAACCTGGAAAATACAAGCTCGCTAAGGGATATGATTTAATAGCATATCATCCAAATGACATGACTGAATTTACTCCGAGATATTTGGTGTCAGAGCTAAATGACAATTCAACTCTCTTCATGAAACGCGTAAAAAATAGAGACGGAACGAAAGAAGAAAGGTTTATGAGTCCGGATGACTTAGATAGGGAACTTGTTAAAAACGGTCTCGGAATATATGAAATGCCAGCAGATGAGGTACAAGAAACTCCACAGGAAGAAGTTCAGATACAACCAGACATGGAAGAAATAGTTCAGCAACAACAGCTAGAAGAGCCTGAAGGAAACGAACAAGTCCTTCCTTTGGAAACTAACTTCACAGAACTAGATGAAGATTTGGAACAGCCGAAAAATCTTGACCCTCAACAAGAGTATGCGGAGAATATGGAATATTTCCAAGAGTCTAAAAAAATTCGGCTGACATAGTAGAGAATATCGAAAAATGTTTGCCGACATACAAAAGACTCCAACACCAGATGAAAATATTCAGCATAGAATGGAAGCAAAGAAAAGTCACAAATACAACCCTTTTTACTTACGAGCATTTAACGTTCAATCTTCGGATGAAACTCGGTGAAAATAAAAGGTTAAATTTCAAGAAAACATATAGAAATGAAACATTGTTTAAAGTTCATTCAGAACCTAACCAAGATGGAAACAAACCTACTTTTGTTTCTGCAGACGATGGAACTACAATGAGATGGGGTCATAAAGCTAACCCGGATAGGTGGTTCATAAACTTACAACCACAATTCCAAGAAGTTGTAGACGCAATGGAAGTCAATGGTGAACG